CCAAGTTCAAATCCTCCAGGAAATGTTGGATATATTTCAACAGATGGTCATCATTTTTCTTGCGAAAACCCTGCGACAAATGTTGGCGATTTCCATATTGTTTTCGTAGTTGATAAAAGTGGCTCTATGTCTTATAGTGACTGTAAACCTCTTGGCCAAAAAACTCAAACATCTCGTTTGCTGTATAATCATCAAAATCGATTAGGCGCTGTATATGAAGCAGTGTATACTTTTATTGAAACGCGTAAAAATTCTCGAAAAGCTACTCGCGTTGGGCTCTCAGCTATAGATCGGGATATAACTTCGCTAATTTTGTTTGATGATGCGGCAACTGTAGTTTTTGAAAATCAAAGCTTATCTAATACAGAACAGCTTTTAAGCAAGATGATGAAATTCAATGCAAATGGAGGCACTTCTTTCCATGCAGGAATAAACAAAGCAGCTGAAATTGTTGAAAAATATCACGATCGGCAAAAGTTAGTTCTAATTAACGTTAAATCATCGTTATCATTTCATTTATATGTACATGTATATGTAACGGTAAATATTCTTGATTTTATTAGAACCAACGTGATTATCTTCCTATCCAACGGTGAATGTAGTGTACCGGAATCTGGATTACGAAGTCTTTGCCAAAGAGAGGTTAAAAAAGGGTAAATATACGCTATGTCGATATTATTACAATCCCATAATGAAGCAGATTTTCTAATAACTTACTTTATTAGGGCCCCATTGTATTTATATACAGTTATGTTCGGTTCTTATGAAAACCAATCGCTACAACAAATGGCGGATATTGAAACAGAATATCTTCCTCGATCTACTAGCAAAGATGTCTTAAGATGTCAATATTTATTTGGATTGAACGAAATTAAACTTATTGAGCATTTTGCACAAGTATCCGAAAGCTTACGTAAACATCAACCAATGCTCATAAGAAAATAACTCTTATTAATTTAGATTTTTTAAAAAAGCAAATAGTGCATATGTAAGGGGTATTGTTACCGAAGTACGTAGCATTAAATTCTTCGATTCCGTAATTTTGATTTTCAATTTCTACATGAAAATCTTTCCATAACGACCTACGTACTTAAAAATCCCTCCAAATTAGTTTCCAAATTTAGAAGGAATAGATATTACCGTTACTTTTTTTTTATTTATATCGAATTACGACCATTCCGTCGTTCTTTAATATATATAACTTATATGACGATCATCGAGAAGGTAACAATTTGAACAATCGGGATAGTTAATACACGTAACGGTAACGATTATCGAGAGGATAATCCTGACAATCATCTGGACAATTGAATTGCATCGACGAAATGTACGTAACGATAGTAACTATAAAAAAGGGGATAACAATCGTCTGGACAATTGAAAGTCAATCGAACAATTAGTGTTAATCGTGTTAAAAGAAACCATGTGTAAATTACTAACCTTAGAATTAACATAGGATTAGCGTAGTAATTCGAAATTGTATATAGAAGCGTCTTCAAGTCGCTGAGAAGATATGCTTTGATCGTGCTTTAAAATCGAGTAAAATAACAAAAGTTCTTACTCGTAATAACAATATTATTTGTGAATACACTATTATTTTCTTTCGTTTCGTGATCAAACTTCAAATCTTGTGAGTGATTGCAAGTAGTGGATACTCCTTCACTCTAAATAAGCCGTTGAATTATTTTGAATTGTTAGTTCGATTTTATTTTTTTATTAGTTAATCTAGAAAACCCGATATGCAGTCAACTAATCAGCGATAGAAATTACTTGCATCAAATCAGAAACCTGGTGTGAATTAGTAAATGCGTGATTTCGTGTATTCGGGATGCCGTACATTCGGGATTTCGTTCTTTCGGGATGCCGTTCTTTTGGGATTTCGTTCATTCGGTATGCTGTTCATTCGAGATATCGTCCTTTCGGTATGCTGTTCATTCGGGATTTCGTGCTTTCTGTATGCTGTTCATTCTGGATTTCGTTTGTCGGGTTTATGGCTTGTCGGAATTATGGTTTTCGGATGTCGTACCAGATCCACGTACATGTGTGCAAGTGAATTTAAAAATGAAGTCTGTTCGTTACATCATCGATAATCACGTGATCTATAAACATCGACACTGATACGGAAAGATCACATGATTCTATACTTCCCCTAAGCACTGTCCGATAGACCAATCAGTGGTGTTTCACGTGATAGCTGTAATCGCTAAATGTCCAACTATTTTATTATTTTATTAAAAGTGTCCTCTCAAAAATTCTAACTGCTCATTATTATATTTACAAAAGAATACATTATATTAGACTTTAGCAATTTATTTCTTTTTTGTGATTAAATGTTTAGATATAAAGTCTTTGTAGTTCATAGTGTTTGAATAGTTCGCAAAAGTAAGTTCTAAATCTTATAAGTCTTTTTATCAGTCATAATGTTGTTGCTCTAAAAATGACTTTTACTAATCAAACTCCTTGATAAATAATTGCATATTTCATATCTATACACTAAATTCCCTCGTGTAATGATGTATACAAATAATTAGTTATCCGACGATTATCGAAGATTACGGTAAAGCTCTGTTCGGGTCGGGTCGAATCGGGTTTGAGGTAACCCGAACCGATAATTTCGGGTCGGGTCGGATTCGGATCTGGTTTGATCCGAAAATCGTAAAATAGTTTTTAGTTAATAACTTTTATTTTTACTAAGACACTTGTATTTGGTGTTTAAGTAGAGTTGTTCGGAATGTAATTGTGTATATACCCATAAATTTTGTTTAATTCCAATTAATATTGAACGAGAAATAACGATTTTTAGATTGACCCGACCCGAAATGTGCGTTCTGGGTTGGATCACGGATTGGTCCCGACCCGGTTGGAGCACTAGATTACGGGCCAAAAATATTTGCCTTGATTGCATACAAATGCTCTAAGTGCACCCCCTCGGGACCATAGTTTAAAACAGGCAAGATAAGCAATTAGAGAGGGTGTGAATTTATAGAGTAAAATATATATGTGTCTTATAACTTGGAACCAAGTCATATCGTGCATTTAGAGAATTATATTGAGTGTAAATTTATAGAGTATGCGCTTAGAAATGTTTTACCGTATTATAATTGGAAAACTTTTATTATATGCTAATCAAAAGTCCCCCTAAGCGTATACTAACATTTAAAGATTATTAAAGGGTCTTCTAAACGGAAATCCAAGTTCAGAATCAATATTTCAAATTTAATCACTAAGAATAATGCTTGCTACCTGTATTTAGATTATCTTCGTTGATACAAACGCAACGACCACAACATCCACAAAAACAAGTAATCCCGACAATTCAAATAATCAAGGTGCAATTATTTATTGATAGTAGACTGTTAACAGAGTAACACTACTTGATAGGTCAATTGTTTTATCAGAAACGTAAAAATCGAATCTTTTTTTCATGAGCATTAATAGTGTCAATTATCTGAATTATAATAATGATGATTGACATCCGCAATTAAGTCTAATGCAGAATCACATGAAAATCCTTTATAAGTTGCAAAATATCATTTATCTAATTTATAATTTATAAAGTAAATTGCTAAAGCTGATTGTTACCAGTGCCAAGTTAAATAGGTACGACTAAGGCTAGAGTAAAGGTAAAGGCTAGCGCCAGTGTGATTTAGACGCACCCAAAAAGCTTTTTACACTATTAACGGGGTAAGCATAAATCAACATTATTTGAGCAACATACATGTAGTTAAATGCTACATGTACATGTATTTGTTCATTGTCACTTGCATATACAGTACAGCACAGCACAGCACAACACAGCACAGCACAGAACAGTACAGTACAGCACAATACGTACCGGTACATCAAGTTCTACAATTTATAAAGATGTGTGCTAAATCGAAGCGTTGTCGTTACCGTTATGGATTTTTTATATAATTGAGGAATATAAACGTTATATGTATATACCTAACTACGTATATTAAAATGTAAAATTCAATACATGTATTTTACAGATGATGCCTTTTACAAATACATTTTCTTTATTGTCGATATAAGAAACACTCGACATAAAAAGCTCTTGATATAAAAACTCCTTTTAAAAATCTCAATGATAACGATAAATGTTTGTTCAAAATAGCAATTCGTCCTCTTAAAATACGTAGCATTGATGGTCTATATGCATTCACATGAAAATTACACAAATTTACCTTGTGTAGCATTTCAATTGTTGCATTTCCAAAATTAGCCAATCACAATTATACGTATATTGTATATATAAAGATAACGACATAAAATTTTACTTTTTCGCCTTCAAATAATGACACAATACTCTTATTGATCACATGCCTCGTCTGAAAAATATAATGCTTTTATTCCAATAGTATAAACGCGAGTACAAATATATAGCGATAGTAATTGTATCCAAATCAAAATTTTTCACTCGTGGTCTCTATGGTTGTTTATTTTTTATCATCAAGTTTTTTTCCACTTTAGTAATATTATAACCAAGAAGAATATGCAATTAAGGAATACATTCTTTTTCCTGCTTGCTATTATTTCTGTTGGGGTTATTGTTGAATGTGCCGAGTACACGCCAGATCCACGATATGACAATACAGCAAGTCTGATTGGCAATAAAATTTATTATTTTGGAGGAACAAATAATAAAGCTGCGTACAATGATTTCTTTTTTTGGGACCTCGAAAATGCATTCAAGTCAAATTCAACGGCATTTGAACTTGAACAAAGCCTCGATGATAGTATACCGTCCATGTATAATCCAACATATGTAGTTGGTGGGGAAAATAATTCCACAATATTTTTATTTGGAGGTTGGGTAGTGAGTATCAAAATATAATTTTTATGAAACTAAAGAGAACCTTAGCTCCGAATAACAATCTTTGTAATAAATTTATAGGGTGAATCGAATTTCATTCTAAGTCAGACAATTTACAAAATTAACGTGAAACCCGGAAATACAACTTGGAGTCTAAGCAACCACGTAGAGGACAACGACATATGGCCAGATGCACGATCTTCTGCAGCAGCCGTCATAGATAATCAAGGGCGTATCTATATCTGGGGAGGTCGAATGAATGTTGATAGACGAATGTACGTTTACGATACTATTAATGATGTTTGGTCTAACCCGTCGAATTCAACTGTATCTCGATTCAATTATACTGCAACTTTGCTTGGAGATGGTCGTATTTTATATATTGGAGGATCTAATTATAGCACATTGAAGCCAATAGATTTAACTCAGGTAATTATTTTTAATCTACTATTGCAATTTACTCGCTTTCTAGTAAACATTTAATTCAACCCCTAGATTCTCATCTATGACACAGAGAGTCACCAGTGGTCTTACGAGGTAAATTTCAAAGAAATTGTTGTTTTGAATTTGAAATTTGGTTCCAGTTTTATCATTGATTGATTTAATATCAGACAGCTACAAGTAATTCAAATAAACTACCCTTTCGTGATGGACATACTGCCGTTTTATGTGAGTTGAAATATTTCAAATTTTTGGAATTAATTTATTTATTGGAGATGAATTACTTATTGAATATGAATGCACCTTAAATCAGCACCCGATGGAAGAACCATTATTATCTATGGCGGATTGAACATTGATAGCAAAACAGCATTACTTCTTTTGGATACAAAATCATTCAATTTCTCATATCCAAGAGTAAATGCTGGTCCAAATCCGGTTCCTGCATTTCATACAGGCACTTTATACAAAAATTACATGATTGTTTCATTTGGTATTTATGCTCGTTTTTTACTGTATTCACATAAAACATTCAAAAGCCTCTCATTTAATCTATGTAAATTTTTTTCTTTCGCTAGGCTTACGAAATGGAAGAGCATCATCAGATGTGAATATACTCGACATTTCAAACTCGAGCGATTATAAATGGCTTGCAGGCCCAGGATATTCACCTTCAGACTCATCTCCTAACAATCCACCTTCAAATCCGAATACGGGATTTAACGTTACTAACGAATCCAATAATACGAATACGAGTACGTATTCAACTAAAGAAACTTCAGAAAAAAACCCTTCAAAAGGCACCATAATTGGCATCACATTAGGTGTTTTTGCCAGTCTATTTATCTTGGGAGGACTTGCAATTGTTTGGTATCGTCGACGTCGAAATCTACCAACATTACCGATATTTGATCAAGGACATTTTTCTGAGATGCAAGAAATACCTATGTCAAATTATCATGAGAAAGATCACGAGGAAGTAAAGAATGATGCTTCTCAGAACTCAAATCGAATAGTCACTGATATTTTATTATAATATTTACCTAAACAAATTCATATTCGATTTATAACTTTTAATGAATTAATGAAATCATTTGCACATATTTCTGCTCTTTGCAAATTACAATTATTACGTATATTGCAAATTTTCTGATATTAAATATTTATTGTATATATATATATATATATATATTTTTCGGCTCTTTTCCGCATTCTGAAATATAAAAATGCATGAAGTATATTTAGCAAATAACATGCTATGTTGGCGTTTGATTCTTTGGGAACAGAGCACATCGTTGTTTAACTTTTGCGTTTATCATTATTAAATTCTTTTCAATTTCCAACAGTATTGTGATTCAGCTTCAGTTGAAACGAGTATTGTATTTACAAGAGGATGAAAACTTTCTTACAGGTGTTAGTTAGAGCGCTCTGATTCGATAATACTTCCTTAATCAGTTCATTGCCCAATT